ACCTTCATTTAAAAACTGCATGTTGTGTTTACTTGTGTTATCTTTGACTAATATTTAAATTTGTTTGATGATCTGAAACATTAAAGTGTGACAAACATGCAAAAAAATAAGAAATCAGGAAGGGATTTTCACATCACTATATATATATATATATATATTATATCATTTAATATATATTTTAAATGGATAGTTCACTCCCAAGTTGTCCTAAACCTTGTTGATCACAAAAGAAGTGTTTTTTTTTTCCATACTATGGAAGCCAATACCGTCAACTGTTTGGTTACCAACATTCTTCAAAATATCTTTTGTGTTCAACAGAAGAAAAACACTCATACAGGTTTGGAACAACTAGTGTGAGTAAATAATGACAGAATTTTCATTTTTTTTGGGTGAACTAAACTTTTAAATTTGTTTTCAAAAAGGCAATAGTGAAAGATTGATAACTGAAATTAATGAGGTGATCGCACAAATTCAAAAATGAGTTTTTTTTCCACTTTATTTTTTATGACATTATCAGTCACTACCCTTAAAACCTGTTCTCAGATCATAACTCAATACTTCATATATATTAAAATATATTAAACTTAAAAACATAAATAACATTATGCAATCTTTTTAAGAAATATTATTATCTCCTGACTGGAGAACAATGTTTATTTTAAACATAACCCTCTTAAGGTTTCACAGCTGTGTTCTTACTTTTGGTCAACATTGTCAGAAAGGATTTTTCACTATGAAGTCACTATTCATACCTGAATACAATGAGTATCTCACAGGCTGCGTTAAAAAAAAAAAAAATAGACAAAAGTAAAACATAATATACAGATGATAAGCTATCAGTCAGAGTATAAAGATATAGCTTGGGATTTTTAAATATTTTTGCTTATTTTAAGTTAGTAATATTAACAACACCAGTTAAATAGAACAGCAACATTTAATGTATGCCTAGCCTGATGTGCAAATATGATTATTTTGTATGTTCTGTGACTGATTATGGTGACAGTTCAATAGATGGAGCTGAAGATCAGTTCTAAAGCATTTGTACACCCAATTCATTCATTCATTAAAGTGAATTATAGATTTGTAATCATTTATAATAAATATTTAACACATTTATGTATCTGATATTTCTTTCAGGTTGGTTGCCTGTTTAGTCCGAGCAGTGGCAGGCCGTGCATTTTACACCTAGGCCTTCAGTGGCGTCCTACATTAATTAATCCATCTCTTCATACCATCATAATGATGCCACGGCTATAGAAACCATAAATATTACACAGTAATAATGCAGTATAACAGGACACTACATAACAGACAGGTATCTTATGTAGCGAGAATGAATGCCATTACTAAAGAAAGAAACCCAATTAACAAGTGCGCAAAACATCATCTGTAGCTGAAACATTAACCTAACAAAATGACACAAATACGGTCCATCCGATGTTCTTACAGACATTTATTCACCCAAACGCATTTATACCTTACAGATAGCATTGGTATAAAACAAATAAGGTGATTACATGTGTTTGAAAATTAACCTACCATACTCTAACGTGAGTGGTTTTTCATCTTCATGAGTCTTTCACAGAGCCGGTGCCGAGGAGGTGTGTGGTTGTTTTTCGCAGTCATTAGGACTACTGTTTTTAGATTTACTAAATATAGTAGGCAAATATTTTTTCAAAATGCACTGAAAATCTAAACCTGAGAAACAGTAATAAAAGTTTTACTAAGTTTTAATAAAATGATTTACAGTGATGCTGTTTGCTAGCTAGTATGCTGAATCAAAGGACGAGAAAATACTGACTTTATCGTTAGCCAGCTAGAGGGCCCTGGTGCTGCCAACTCGAAATCTGATTGGTTAAAGCAACGGTTTCATTGCCATTGATTTAAGCTAACAGACGCCTGCACTGTTGATTCTGAAGGCCTTAAGGCAGATTTCTTTGACCCTGGCAACACGATTGCTGAAATATGATTGGATAAAAGCTCTAATATAAACATACACTGCTGGAAGCAGTGCAACCAAGAGAAAAGCTATGAACTGAAGAGAATAGACTATTGGAAATAATTTAATACACATTCATGGAAAAATATAAATATAAAATATTAAAACTAAATCAATGATTCTGATCGTGTTTAGGCCAGCAGAGAAGGCTTTGCTGGCCCTGACGGCCCACCACTGAGTCCCAGTACTCAAGAATCAGTGATTTGTGTGTTAAATTTGCTCCTTGTTTCAGCGGACAGTGGATAGGCTATAATAGAGTGCTAAGGCCTAAGTGTAATTCATTTTTTCAATTACAATCATGATTTACACCTACTGCATATATTGCACTATAGCCAGGACCAATGTAGGCTATATGAAGTCTTGCATAATTAATAGGCTACTGTAACAGTCAGAGCCCGACTGAGATTGTGTCAATATTTTAAGAAAATTAGCACAGTACGACAATTTCATGATCTTAAAACGCCATACATCGAGCCCTAACAAGAAATACTCATAAAAAGGGAAATAATTACTGATACTGCGCTGGTAATATCATCTGGACTTCTGCGCCAGTCGCACTCATGTGGTCACGGTGACGCGCGTGGGACAGCACTGCGCGCTCACGCTTTTGAACGTTGAATCTAAAGTGTCCGTGGCAAGTGGCGACGGGACGCGTGGACAGCACGCCTCTCTTCATATATTCGCCAACATTAAAATGGAAGGCAGATACGTGACAGATCTAGTTAAGTATTCAGTCATATTTTTGTAAAGTTCAGTCAGGAACGCCGCGCTAACAGCTGGTTTGGTTGTAGCTAGCAGCAAAGCTAGCTCGAAAAACCCCTTCCCCACTAGAAGATTTTTAATGAACCTTCATAATTTCATCTCTCTGAAGTGCAGTTCTCTGCAGCACAATCCTGTTTCGTATGGACTTTTTGCTCGTTTTCGTTTAAATCTCTTAATTTCACGATGCGACTCTCTGGCGCCGGGTTTCTCAGCTGGCTCGCTGCGGTCTTCGTGGAGGATCACTTCAGAGAGCGGTGCTGAGCCACACTGACACCCCAATATTCATTTCCTCGATTATTTACAGTATTCTACAACCGGTAAGTACATAAACATAGCTGGTTACCGTTATATGTATTCATAACTTGCTAGTGAAACGCCTGCACGAGCGGGGAAAGTGGAGCGACTACAATATGCGTGTGTGCGCGCGCGTGCTCTCCTATAATAAACTCCACTAAATAGCTGTACATTAAATAGCTCATGTTTACAGGGTGGTTTTATCTGGAGTTTGCCCTATTAAGTGTCAATATACTGGTGTGCATTGGATGTAGGAATCGATTAGGTTGTAAGATTCACGGTCTCTGGGAGATGGGCTGTTTAATTTTGTACAAAATAAAAGCCTTTCAAAACAAACTCCCTGATTAAACATTAAAGTACACTAGTGTGATAAACAGTGCAAATTTTCTTCAGTTTTTATTTAATATTGCGAAAATTATTCATAAATAATGCTTTTTTCACTCAAAGAAGTTGACAAAAAGATTGAATCCAATCTTTGGTGATAATATAGCATAATGAGTGATTTATAAGCAATTTTATGAGGCCGGGTCCTTTTTGCTCTGTAAACTCGTAAGTGTGATAGGGTTCTGAACACAACACAAGGGTTAAATCACCCAGTAAGATGAGATATACAAAGAAACTGAGTCAATAAACGAATTGCCTTTCATAAATCATGTTTCATAGTGATAGTGGCAGTTGAGGTTGATTAATTTTTGTGCTTCAAGGGTGCAGATTAAAACGACAACATACAATTGAGGTTTTACGTGTACTTTGTACGTGTACGTGTTTCTTTGGTCTACTATAGATCATGGGTTTATTATAAATCTATTAGATGCCAGCAAATATAATCACTAATGACAGGGACCCACATCCTAAAATTTAAAAGGCAGCTATATAGTTTATTTTATAAAAACCTAAATTACACTGTAAAAAAAATATCTAAATTAATATCTAGAAAATGTTTTTAGTTTTGAATGTTACATTATTACATTCGTTTTCAACTCATAGCTCTGTATTTTTATAGTGCTGTATTTATTTAATTTTTTATGTATTTATACTAATTTATACTAATCAGAGATACATACAGATATATATATATATATATATATATATACACACACACACACTTTACACTTGTTCTCTGAACATTTCCCACAGAGGCCTTTCTTGCAGCCAGACCCCAGTTTAAAAACCTTTGGTCTATGCAAATGAGAATACGTGTGCCCTTACATTCAGATCTGGCTTTCCCTTTTGCGCTGAAGGGGTTTGCACTCACAAATCAATATTTTAAACGGAACTCTGATTGTTATACATGTGCTAGACAGTGAAAAATGCTCTCCTCTTGGCCACTTTGCTTTAGAAAAATAATGATGTGAATCCAAAATTGTATTTCAGTCTCTCAAAGATTCCCAGACTTGACTTAAGTCTGTAGAGTCAGCTGGAGGCATATTAAAGCAGCTCTGTGCTCTTGGTGCTGCTCAAAATATTGATTTTGGTGATAACATTACAGCAATATGTATAGCTTGGGCTCTAGCCTGTGTTGTGATACAGCTTTCATTAATTTTATTTTTCTGCAGCCTTACTAAGGGCAGCCAAATCCAGTCTGGTCTGATACTCTTAAAGGGATAGTCAACCCAGAAATAAAAACTGATTTATAAATAAAAAATCATTTACTCACCCTCATGTTGTTCCAAACATGTACGACTTTCATTTTTGTGCTGAACACACACACACACACACACACACACACACACACAAAATATATTTTGAAGAATAACTGAACAGTTTCAGTTCCCCTTGACTTCCACTGTAATTTTTGTCCCATGTTTTGTCATGAAGATTTGAATAGCTGCTAAAGCAATGAGCTGTTATTGATTGGCACAGTGGTTGTATGCTGCTCATATTTCCTCTCATCTTTCCAGTTTCCTGCATCAGCTAGTATGCAAATTCCATGCTACTCTAACAGAAATTATTTGGAGAACATTGAGTAAGTTTACATGGACAGCAATATTCTGATTTTAGCACGATTAAGACAATACTCTGATTAAGAATCTACCATGTAAACAGAGATTTTTGATTACCTTAATCCGGATTAAGTCATATTCGAAGTAAACAGAAATAGAAATAAGCATTTTTGACCGGGAACACCACAAGTGTGACTTTGTGCCATTTTGTACAAAATAAAAGCATTTAAAAGCAAACTCCCTGATTAAACATTAAAGTACACTAGTGCGATAAACAGTGCAAATTGTCATCAGTTTTTTATTTAATATTGTGAAAATTATTCATAAATAATGCTTTTTTCACTCAAAAAATGAGGTGCCTACTCTCAGATAAATGAGGCCTACGATTAATCAGAAGCAAATATAAATACAAAACCAGTCCTAAATGAAAGAAAAGAAGTTGACAAAAAGATTGAATCCAATCTTTGGTGATAATATAGCATAATGAGTGATTTATAAGCAATTTTTTGAGGCCGGGTCATTTTTGACCGGGAACACCACAAGTGTGACTTTGTGCCATTTTGTACAAAATAAAAGCCTTTCAAAACAAACTCCCTGATTAAACATTAAAGTACACTAGTGTGATAAACAGTGCAAATTTTCTTCAGTTTTTATTTAATATTGCGAAAATTATTCATAAATAATGCTTTTTTCACTCAAAGAAGTTGACAAAAAGATTGAATCCAATCTTTGGTGATAATATAGCATAATGAGTGATTTATAAGCAATTTTATGAGGCCGGGTCCTTTTTGCTCTGTAAACTCGTAAGTGTGATAGGGTTCTGAACACAACACAAGGGTTAAATCACCCAGTAAGATGAGATATACAAAGAAACTGAGTCAATAAACGAATTGCCTTTCATAAATCATGTTTCATAGTGATAGTGGCAGTTGAGGTTGATTAATTTTTGTGCTTCAAGGGTGCAGATTAAAACGACAACATACAATTGAGGTTTTACGTGTACTTTGTACGTGTACGTGTTTCTTTGGTCTACTATAGATCATGGGTTTATTATAAATCTATTAGATGCCAGCAAATATAATCACTAATGACAGGGACCCACATCCTAAAATTTAAAAGGCAGCTATATAGTTTATTTTATAAAAACCTAAATTACACTGTAAAAAAAATATCTAAATTAATATCTAGAAAATGTTTTTAGTTTTGAATGTTACATTATTACATTCGTTTTCAACTCATAGCTCTGTATTTTTATAGTGCTGTATTTATTTAATTTTTTATGTATTTATACTAATTTATACTAATCAGAGATACATACAGATATATATATATATATATATATATATACACACACACACACTTTACACTTGTTCTCTGAACATTTCCCACAGAGGCCTTTCTTGCAGCCAGACCCCAGTTTAAAAACCTTTGGTCTATGCAAATGAGAATACGTGTGCCCTTACATTCAGATCTGGCTTTCCCTTTTGCGCTGAAGGGGTTTGCACTCACAAATCAATATTTTAAACGGAACTCTGATTGTTATACATGTGCTAGACAGTGAAAAATGCTCTCCTCTTGGCCACTTTGCTTTAGAAAAATAATGATGTGAATCCAAAATTGTATTTCAGTCTCTCAAAGATTCCCAGACTTGACTTAAGTCTGTAGAGTCAGCTGGAGGCATATTAAAGCAGCTCTGTGCTCTTGGTGCTGCTCAAAATATTGATTTTGGTGATAACATTACAGCAATATGTATAGCTTGGGCTCTAGCCTGTGTTGTGATACAGCTTTCATTAATTTTATTTTTCTGCAGCCTTACTAAGGGCAGCCAAATCCAGTCTGGTCTGATACTCTTAAAGGGATAGTCAACCCAGAAATAAAAACTGATTTATAAATAAAAAATCATTTACTCACCCTCATGTTGTTCCAAACATGTACGACTTTCATTTTTGTGCTGAACACACACACACACACACACACACACACACACACAAAATATATTTTGAAGAATAACTGAACAGTTTCAGTTCCCCTTGACTTCCACTGTAATTTTTGTCCCATGTTTTGTCATGAAGATTTGAATAGCTGCTAAAGCAATGAGCTGTTATTGATTGGCACAGTGGTTGTATGCTGCTCATATTTCCTCTCATCTTTCCAGTTTCCTGCATCAGCTAGTATGCAAATTCCATGCTACTCTAACAGAAATTATTTGGAGAACACTGAGTAAGTTTACATGGACAGCAATATTCTGATTTTAGCACGATTAAGACAATACTCTGATTAAGAATCTACCATGTAAACAGAGATTTTTGATTACCTTAATCCGGATTAAGTCATATTCGAAGTAAACAGAAATAGAAATAAGACATGTGGAGTATTCTTGTTTTAGTCGCATTACTGAAGTGCAGTTTAGACATGTACACACCTTAACCCTCTGGGGTCCGAGGGTGTTTTGGGGCCCTGGATCAGTTAATTTTAGTGACACATTTCAAAGAGATATGCGCAGAGAATGAGACGGCTAAAAGCACACCCTGTTTATTTTCTTTATTTTGCAAAAGCACAATGTTTTGTTGATATTGTGAGTGTACACAAATAAAAGTAGACCCTTTACAGATTTAAATGCTGTATTACTCTTATATGTAAGATCACGTATGAAGGAGCATTTTAAGTTCTTTTCGCTGTTATCATTCAAATCTGCAAGGGGTGCCGCCGGCGCCACCCTCGACCCCAGGAGGTTTTAATCACACTATTACCATCGTGTAGGACTTTTCGCTGCATTTTGCGACAGGATACACACACGGCAGTGGTCAACCGTTTGATGGCAAACAAAAGAACATGGCTTCAACAACGGCGTTATCTGTTTGCACATATGACATGACAAATAATTAACTGCACTTGAAGCATTCGTAAAATTAAAAATGAAACACCCAAAACCATATATGGCACCATAACGAAGATTAACTATATGTTTATACGTGAAATTCTTGAGGGGACGTGGCGTCACGTGGGGACATAATGACGTGTGCCATTAATCGATCGATGTACTATATCATGTAAAACGGGAACATGAAAGGAATATTCTT